AATATTTCAATATATGTGTCTATGATAAGTTCAGCTTCAGCTGCTGGTCCATTTTATTTTTTAATATTTGTGCCTTCAGATTTGGGAGGTATGTTAATGCCCAATAGAATTGACAGACCATCAATTATAATTTCTGCCTGCCAGCTTTGCAAAACAAATCCATTTCATCTCTTATGTCGTGTTTGACTTGCATGCTACAGAAGATTTCTTTCTGGAGGGTAAGAGATGAGGAGGACAAGGTAGGTACTCGAACATCTCACTTAACAAGTTCCCTTGCAGAACAGTATGACGCAAATGACTAGGCCTGCAACCATTAAACTTGACTTAATACTTGGCAAATCCTGCTTCTTTTAAACACGGGTGAGCAGAAGAAAAGAGAAATGAGGTATATAAAAACCTCTGCTGAATACTGTGGAAATGATGTATATAAAGACCTCTGCTGAATATTGTGGTTGTTTAAAATGCCATATGCCAGTTTATGCACGTTGTATAAAATTGTGCGGCAGTCTGATGTTTTGCTTCCTAAACACTCTGTGGCAGTTCCATATGTTTCATGGGAAGCACAATGCCTTGAGCTGCGTGATGTACTTTTCAGTTCTTTAAACAAAATGTCCTTTGTCACAGCACAGGCTCAAGGCTTCCTATCCATCCAGTGTTCCGTATTTTCCCCCACCCCAGCATCCTGCTCTACAGCATCTTTGGACTTGGCTTTTTGCATCATTATCAGATATCTCTCAGGCCGTTTTCTCCAACCCTTGGTTTTGAAGATAAAGTCAAGTTTGAAGCCTGGAGGGAAACATCACTTAGCTGGTAAAGATAGCATCTCTGATTTTCTTTTTTTTTTCCCTTCAACATGTTTCATACTGCTTCTGTGCTGGGCAAGCATATAATTTTGCAATCTGTTTCCTGTAAACTCAGATATCTAACTTCTAAATCTATGCTCATTCAAATCAAGTTATTTAAAAGGGTACTATATGAGTCCTTATTATTACTGAACTATTGCATACAGTATTTTGAACTTTGGGAATTCTAGCTAATCGCCTTTTGTGTATCAGAAGTTGTTTTTACTACTGTATACAGAAACTAATGGAAATAGTTGTGTGACTTGCATACAAATATTTGGAATCGAGCAAAACATAAGTTCTCTGTTCTCTGCACAGTCCTGTATTAGTAGCATGAGGCTATAGCAAAGCGTGGAAAGGCACATTACAGTAAGGGGCTAGGGACATCCTTCCACATGCAACATTTCTGCTCCCACTTGTCCCTTTTCCACTATGTGCTTACCAGGTAAGGAATCCCTTTAACAGATTTTGAGCTCAGGGTTTGTCAGACAATCAGCCAAGTCTGAAAGCTGTAGAAGGACTGAACCTGAATTTAAAAATCTCTTCTGAGTTTCAGTTATAGCAATTCCTGTGAACAGATATTTTCTGCAGGGCACTGAGTGATGGAGTCTGATGCCAGGCATCTGCCTGGATTGTGATACAGCTGCTGGGTTGTGCAGCATTAGTTTGCAGTCATTGGCAGCAGGGTTCATGAACTATGTACAAAAGTTGTAGTATGTAAGTTTTATTTCTTGATTCAGTCTGTTTTGTTACGCACAGTGATGGCTTATTTTATGTCCATCTCCAAATTAAATCCCATTCTGTTTTAGAGAAGAATGAATTAAAAAGAAAGTTTCATTAATGCACTGCATCTTAAGGGTTTCTTTTTTTTCACACTGACAATATAGATCAGTAACAAAGAAGTGAATAATTCTTATTCAGATTCTGACCAATATGATGTGCAAAAGTGAGAAACACAGGTTTTTGGTGTCTGTCCCATCACAGTAGTACTTCGTTCAGTGCAGTGCCAAGGTAGTGAAGAACCTTTCAGACATTATTTTTTTTTTGCTGAGGTCACTGGTGCTAACACTAATGGTGTGTGGGTTTTGTCTTGTTTTGTTTTCTAATAGAACCATAAAATTTATTCTAGCCATATGGGAATATATTCCCAGGATGTGCCAGTCATTATCAATTTTGGCTTTGTTCTCTAAAAGACTATGTCAAAACATCCATTATCAACAGGAAAAAAAAATGTGTGCGTGTACATGTATGTGTAGAATGTGGTAAAAATAGCTCCTTATGTGAGGCTTATCTGCTGTAGAGTTTGGGGCACATCAGATAGATAGAATTAATAACATTATCTCATGGTCAGTATGAAGATCTGTTTCAGCTATAGGAGAAAGGAGAGAAGAGATCCTTAGATACTCTGCTCAACATCATTATATTTGGCAGAGACTCATCCTCCTGTGTTCCAGAGATGAGCTTGCTGGAGTAGCAGATACACGTGGTTCATAAGGGCCGAGAGGGGATAATAGGAAGCCTGTGGGTGATAGAGGCAAAAAGAAAAGAGTGAAGGGATGGGGGGGCGGTCGGTCCCATATAGCCTGTCTACCCCTGCAAGCACAGCAGCGGTTCTTGTTCAGTGTCAGACATCTTCATCTGCTGCACTGTGCAAACTCCAGCCTCTGCAGAGATCTGGATCTCAGAGGGAAGGGTAATTAAAATGCATAATGACATAAAAGCTTTGCTGCAGAAAGGAGGCAGGGAGCGCTGGTATTAAAGAGTCATTTGCTGTAGCGTGACAGAAGTGTTCGTCCGCGCATATTGCTGCACTGCTAGTGTGCATGTGCTGACATAGTCCTGCAGCTCATGGCAGCCTCACACCTGCCTATTCATGGCTTGGTAGGTTGGTTGCTTAAAACCTCCTGAACACAACTTGGGTGAAATGGTCAGGAAACTGTGACAAATTTAAGATTAAAAGCAACAGGAACAAACTAATTCCTGTAGATGCTCTGGCCTCCCAAAAGATGGGGTATTACTCTCACCTTGTGCAGAACCAGAAGCTGTCCTGACAAATTTACATTTAATTGAATTCATTTAGCTGGTTGTCACACACCAGAGATCATCAACAAGTGTACTTTTGATTGTATCAGAGATCACTGGGAATTACGGCTTTTGTGATCTTATAAAGCAAAGTATAAGCAGTGTCTTGAATAGATGCTAATAGTTACAAATAAAATAATCTGTGTAAATTGTTCTCTAACTGATTGCAAGTGGTGTACCTGAGTGAGCTAGAAGGTGATCCTATGGGACAAGAAAATACAAAAGAAGATTTTTCTCAGTCTTGCAGAATAGAGGCTTTGTGCCTTTCTAGCACGAGAGCTTACATGAGATGAAGAGCTCTTGGTCTGGGCTTGTGGTCACAGGAGAGTAAGAAACCACCTGACAATCCTAAAATACCCTAGAGCATGTCTAGGACTGGAGGACTGGGGAACATAGGTAAGGAAGTGAGGATTAATTCTTCGTGTATGTGTGTGCGCCTGCTCATACATGGGCAGTTTTTTTTATATGCATGTTTCTCTTTTTACTATATAGCAGTAAACTGTGTACCTTTCTGTCCGTGCATGCATACATAAAGACATGACGCGCAATATTATATTTTGCATTTTCTAACTTTTCTACTTGTGTTAATCTAGTGTGGTATTTACAAAGTGTGATGCTGTTAGCATAGAGAGCTGCTCTAGGCTGAACATGGGGGAAAAGCTATGTTTTAGAACATGATTTTGTTAGAACTTGATACCAAAAAGTGTTTAGAAATAAATGCTAAGCAGCAAGTAGTACCATTTGTAGAGTCACAGGCTCCACAAAGCTGTATTTCATTTTGTCCTCTACTGTTGTTCATTAATGTAAATCACAGAATCACAGAAGGGTTGGACTTGATAGAGACATTTGCAGACCATCTAGTTGATCTGCCATCTCAAGCAAGGTCGGCTGGAGCAGGTTGCCCAGGAGCATGTCCCATTCATTGGGTTTGGAATGACTCCAAACTCCTCCTCCAAGGAAGGAGTCCCCCAAACCTCTCTAGGCAACCTCTGCCAGAGTTTGACCACTCTCACAATGCAGAAGTGTTTTCTCATGAGCAAGTGAAATCTTCTGTTTTGGTTTCTGCCCGTGGCCTCTTCTCCTGTCATTGGGCACCACTGAGAAGATCCTGGCTGCTTTACAGGCTCCCATCGGATGCTTATGAACATTGATAAGATCCGCCCGAGTTGTCACTCCTCCAGGCTCTTATGTTCTTACTTTCTGAGTAGAATTGCTTACGTTTTCCTTTTTCAGTGCTAATGAGTAATAAAGGAGTTTCTCCTTCAGTTGCTGTGTCAGTGATTGACCTTTTTTCACATTTTGGTGATCCAGATGGGAGAAAAAAAATGAAATTAATATTTATGCATTAGGCAATATTTATGCATCAATATTTATCTAAAATGATTAGTTTGAATTGAAAATTTTCCTAGTGTAAGTTTATTAAGTTTATTTTTCATAATAAATACGAGGCTATTGAGTTTCAGGTGTATTTATTAAACAATATCCAAAATCTTTAGGTAGTTGGACTTTTATAATTCAGCTTATCAAAAAGTGCCCATAATACCCATGATTTTGACATACTTATAACTTTTTGACAAATTATTTTTAGGATTCTTCTTATTATTTTGATTATTTTTAGGAAACTTCTTTTTTCAGGCAAAAAAACAATACTGACTAGAACATATTATTTTAAGTTTTACATTTTTAACAGTCTTTTGATCTTTGCTTCCTTGAGAAATCCCATTTTATTCATACTATCTCTTTTCCCCTTATGACAATATATAAGTGCAGGAATAGTGTGAAGCACACTGAAACAAAACCAATATCATCCACCTCGCAGTGACCTGCTGCCTTTGAAAGACTGTGTTAATCCTATGCATTCTGCCCTGTGCCCATAAGGCCATCAATCTTTTGAAATTTATTCTTCACTATGGAGCACTTCATTATGGAGCACTGAATTATTCTTCACTGTGGAAGGCCCGGAGCTGTTGGGTAGAGCGTAGTTGAGGGAGCAGAGACCCTGCACCATGGGCTCCCGATTTCTCTCAGGTCCTGAAGCGCCCTGTTCTGCCTTTTCTTTCTATTATATTCTTACAGATATAAGGAATGGCTGGGGACTGCGGGGGACAGATGCACCAGTATGAGGGAGCGGAGGCTCTGTATATGGTGTCTCCGCCTTTCTCTGGATCCCACAAGCTACCTATGCTGTATGTACAGTGCTTTTATGTGGTGTCTCTAATTCCTATGTAGTCTTATAGTTATTGCCTGGCTTCATCCTTATAGGTATATTATGTTAATAATATTTAACTTCGTGAGAACCTAAAAATATTCTAAAGGGTTTCTGCAGTGCTCGCAGAAACCAATGGTAGTATTTCTACCTTTTTTTTTAACCCCATTCTGACTGAACTTTTAGCTTATTATTTTTGAAGCTCAGTGCACTATTTTGATGAACTGCATTATAGTGAGCTTAGTAACACATGATAAAATGCGAATATTTTCGATTTTTTTTTTTGGTATAAAATACAGTTGTTAGCAGCCATTGTTACAGAGGCAAAATTCTTCTTAAATTTCCAAAAATTAATTAAAAATATGGTTTAACATTAGAGTGCCAGTTATCTTTTTCTAGCAAAGAAGCTAAAATAAAATTTGATAAAGTTAAAAGTATTTAGTTGTAGCTTTGAGTGGTATAATGGGCAAGCTGAAAATACAGTTCAAACTGAAAAGCTAAATACTCCAGCTCTTGAGATTTGAAATAGCTTAATTATATCAGTTGCCTGTTCCACTCTTATCATCTTCTTGAAGCAAATAAACACTTCTGCATTTTCATCAACATATATCAGATCTGTTTGAATACTGAAAATATACTTCACTAGGGGTTCAGAGCATTTCAGTGTTTTAAAATTCTGCCTTTCTGATCAGAAGAAAGTAGATAATTTATCTAATTTAATGCCAGGAACATATTGGAAATTAAATAGAAAAGTAAGAAAGGAAATAATATGGAAGACAACAAACAAACAAAAACCTGGAATAGTAGAGGAGGCTATCATCACATTCCTTAGCAATTAAAATAATGTAGATGAAACTTCTGATCTTAATAAAATTTCCTGGGAGGCATCTTAAGGCACAAAATATCAGAAGTAAAACTGTCACACAGGCTTATCTTTTCATCACAGTATTTTTGCCTATTAGAAGGTAACTTGTGTGTTTGTGCCTTATTCAGCTGAAATACTTGCTTTTTATTAGCCAACACTAAAATTACTGAATGAATTTACATAACCTGGAAGTTCCCCAAATTTTCCTTCAGCAGTTTACTGAATTTTATTTTGCTTCCCGTCTTGCACAGGGTCTGTTCTAAGACATTAAGTTTTTAGTAGTGGCAGCGTAATGATGAACTCCTCATTCTGACTGTTTTTGTAAAACGAACAGGAAACAAGAAGGAGAGGAAAATATGAATAGGCCTTTCTCCTCCTGAGCAAAAGTGTAACAGAAGGTTTTTGTGTCTCTTTAGGTGGTCTTGTTATCATCAGCAAAAAGTGTCTGTCTTTGGGTGATACTCTACATCCACATGCACAGTGTTAGTATACATACAAGGTTGGATAATTATTTTCAGATAGTTACTAAAGATTGGATAATTATTTTTCCCAGGCAGAACATGTGGTGTAGATGCTCAACCCCCCGTCACTTGGAGTGGGGCATTGGAGCCCCCCCGCCATGTGCTCAAGGCCATGTCCGTTCCTCCAACTGCTCTCTGAAATGGAGCACCCATCTTACAGATTTTCTTCTATTATTCCATATTATTCTATTACTCATTATTTTTGTTTAATGCAATAACTTCTTTATAACTTGGCTCAATTTCTGCAAGACTTGGGAGGCTTGTACTCCATCTCTGATCCATATATGAGGTATTTTTATTGCTTATAAAGTGATGTTCTGTGTGCTATTCTTCTAAACTTAGCAAGTAAAGGAATTGCATGCCTATATAGCATGAGAGTGAATCTGAGAAAGTCACAAGTTCTCATCTGATTCAGGAGTCTAAGGTTGTAATGAGCCTCTTGGCCACTGCTCAGTCACCAGCACCACTCTGGACAGCCCTGCAGACCTCTTGTCCCAGACTGATTGGGACTCCTCTCCTACAATGACTGCCTCAACGAGATGCCTGTCTCGTTTCTTTCATTCCTGAGACCTGTAGAGCCACTGTGGTTGCCTTAGGGAATTGTGGCATGAATGTACGGCTGTATGTTGCCACTGACGAGCACTGGCTACCAAATGAAAGCCTTATGTCTACCTCTACCTCTTATTTCAACTTAAGCTAATGGTCTCTCCTACCACAATGTGTCACTGTGCAGAGCCTGGCTCCATCTTCTCAGCTGCCTCCCCAGGTGGTGACCTGATCCCCCGAAGCGCTATCTTCTCTGGGCCTGCTAAGCCCACCACCACCAGCACTACCACCAGCCCAGTTCCCCCAGCCTCTCACACACCAAGTGCTCCAACCACCTTAGTGGCCCTCTGCTGAACTCACTCCAGTTTGTCAATGTCTTTCTTGTGCTGGAGGGCCCAAAACTGGACCCAGTGTTTTAGATGTGGCCTGAGACGCATGGAGTAGGGGGTGATAATTGCTTTCCTTTCTCTAAAGTTACTGTTCATACAGCTGCCTGTACCCAGAGGACACCCAGGGCCTTCTGAGTAGAGCTGCTGCCATGCAGGCAGTCCGCAGTCTGCTGGTGCCAGGATGAGGTTATTCATGGAGGATTTCTAAGAGGAAAATCTTAGAAATCTCTGAAATCCTGTGGAATTTCTAAGATGAAGACTGCTCACCGTTCTTGAGTGAGCTGTACACTGACATGAAAGTATTGTGCATATCTGAGAGCTGCCATTAATGGGAAGTAACTTTTCTTTCTTTCTGCATTTTGGCATGCTGGAAGGCTTCTGAGAGTGTAGAAAAAAAAATGCATTAATTTATAAATGGTTACACTAAACATAGCACTTTCAAACTCATTTGTTTGAATCACAGTATTCCAAGCTTTTAGTTTTTATTGTTTTGTTGTTGTTATTGTTTTCCACTTCTTTAGAATTAAAATCATGCAGTTTTAGATTAGTACACAAGAAGTGTGGACATGAGTTAGGAAATACAGTCTGTTTCATTTAGCTAGAAATTACTGTTACTTCCCAGCTGTGCTGCTATCATGGTAACTTTTACACTGAATGATTATTTAATCATAAAACCTGAAATTCCTAGAAGTGTCAGGGGAACTGTATACATATTAAATCAAGAAGTTCTTTAGCACCACTGCTTAAACACAGGACATTTATAAGGGAATAAAGATCCCTTGAGGTTCCTTTCATTTTCTCTGTAGCCTGGATTATTCCCTCCAAGTTTTATCTCTAAAAGTACTTTCCATTACAAATGACTGTTTTGGTTGAAGAAGTTAGAAGTAACTTTCTTCCTCTAAAATTTCATGTATTAGAATTTGATATTCAACAGAGTTGTTGCTAAAGACTCTCTGTAGGTATTTCCTTTCTCAGGAGAAAAACACTGAACTGTAAGTCTGGATTCTAATACTATATAAAAAAACAAAAAGGGATGTTAACCCTTTGTTTCACTTGTGCTGTAGTTCTAAAAGAGCTTTTCTGAAAAGTAATCATCTGGGATATCTCTTAGGATATTGCTTTAAGTTAGTTATTAATTGTCAGGAAATACAATGTATATGGCTAAAGCTATGCTTTTTTTTTTGGCATTTAGAATGCTGCCATAGAATTATGGCATATGTTATTATCTCACCTCTTGTACTATTGAGTGAATGATAAGTACGAACAGAAATCTTTCCTCCTTTCTATTTAGTAAGAAAAATAGTTTTACCAATGTATTTTTTCCCTAAAACTGTGGGTATGTTTGCATAGAACAATGACCATTTTTTTTTACGTTGAATGTAAAATGTCAAATTCATTTTTCTTCTTCTCTTTGTATGCCTGAGTTTTTTGGTATAGATTCAGTTTCTGAGGAGGTTCTTGCTTCCACATTCATGAGCTTTCTCCTGTTGCCTGGTGGTTTTATTTTTTGTTGCAACAGTGTAAGGTCATAGTTGTGCAGGTGGATGCAACAGCCAGTCCTCTGACGAGCTGGAGGATCAGAACAAGGTACTGTGAGTTGAGGTTTGTGTAAAGTGAGGAGCTGTGCAGAAAGATGGAGAACACTGGTACAGACTGCAGCAGAACAGTAAAATATTGTGGCAGTTTGTTTTTGAGCCTTTTCCAAGGTGAATTACTGTCACTTAATTCTTGGAGATTAGTTGTAGAAGTCTAGAGGTTATACATGTGCGGATCCCTTTGGACTTTTCTTCTTGAAATGGAAAGAGTACAGTCTTCCTTGGCCAGATGCACATTGGCAAGCAAGCTTTTGCCATCATAACTTTTTGGGTATGGAATAGCCTGGGGAAGGGAAAACAATGTCTTGACAATCCGTGGCTGTTTGTTCTCGTGTTGCCGGATGTTCTTCAGTGATCTTCTCTGGCATTATCCCAGATTTTCCTGGGTTCATCTTTAACCATCTTCTAAGTGCAGTATGATTTTAAATAGGTATTGAGCAAATGGAGATAACTGGTGGTGACAAGCAGAAAAGTTCTACAAGGTGGCGTGTCCTATCGATTTGATGTAACTTCTTCCAGTTTCTCTGCAACTTCTTAAAATGATAGGAAAAGTAAGGCAGACAAAAACTTGACCTCTGTGGAAACCTGCAAGATCCAGATAGAAGAAAACATAAAGTTGTTTTACTGTGTGAAGAAAGAAAAAACTATATTCATGTCAAGGTATTTGTTCACCTATTTATTTTGTTCAAGTTCGGTAGTATTTAGTGAATAAAACTATTTGTGGAGGGAGATGAAGAAAAGCATTTAGAAAAGTGGTAGTGGATGTATTTGTGTTAAAAAAAATCAGTCATTGAAGTACACTGTCTATATTTGCCTTCGCTTCTGAGAAATACAAGTTCCAGGTGTTGAAAGCTCATTAGCTGTATGGTTTGAGGGTTTCTTTCTCTTTTAAGAAAATATTGACTAGTTCTGTGAGACCTTGATGGCTTCTTTCATGTTTCAAATAGTAAGTAGTAAGAAAGTAGTGATAAGCACAGAAATGGACAATTGCTATTATTAGGGAATCAAAGTGTTGTAACTAGTGTTGCCATGATGATTATGGCCTAAGTTCTTGGAAGAATAAT